TACCCGCCATGTCCCCTCAACCCTTGTGTTCCCCTAAACCCCCTCTGGGTCCCCTCAGCCCCCCCCAAAATGTCCCCATAGCCCTCCCCAGTGTCCCCTCAGCCCCATAGTGGGGATTAGGGCCCCCGCATACACCGCAGAACCCCCAGGAGGTGTTATGGGGAGGGCACCACTATAGACACACATACACATAGAGTAATTAACAGCTGCTTTTAATTGAGGGGGGGAGAGGATTATGGGAGTTTGGTTCAAACTTGGTGGAGGGGACTGGGGTGTCTGGGGGGGCAACCCCCACCCTGCCTTTGCTGACGACTCTAGGAGGAACCAGGCATCTGGGAGCAGCAACTCAGGTAAGCAGGACAGGGTGGACCCATGGGTCCAGGATCTCCATGTCTCCATAGGGTGCCCCCACCACCATAGGTGCCAGTCTCCCCCTCCCCACCCATTAGGGTACCCCCTCAAACCATGAAGCAGTGAGGATATGCAGGGGGAAAATTAGAAGGGCCAAGGCTCAAGTGGAGCTCATCTTGGCCACCAATGTTAACAATAACAAAAAGGGTTTTTTTTCAGTATGTTAACAGCAAGAGAAAGGTTAGGGATAATGTGGGCCCACTGATGGATGAGGTGGGCACCCTAGTAGTGGAAGACACAGAGAAAGCAGAGTTGCTGAATGCCTTCTTTTCTTCAGTTTTCACTGTTAGGATTGCCCCTCATGAATCTGTGACCTTGGAAGCAAGGGGGACGGTATGGAGAGAGGAAATTTTTCCTCTAGTAGAGGAGGACCAGGTTCGGGACCACTTGGCCAAACTGGACATTCATAAGTCCATGGGCCCTGATGGGTTGCACCCACGAGTGCTGAGGGAGCTGGCAGACGTTATTGCTGGGCCACTCTCGATCATCTTTGAGAAGTCGTGGAGAACAGGAGAGGTGCCTGAGGACTGGAGGAAGGCCAACATCACTCCAGTCTTCAAAAAGGGCAAGAAGGAGGACCCTGGGAACTACAGACCAGTTAGTCTCACCTCTGTCCCTGGGAAGGTGATGGAGAGACTCATTCTAGATGTCATCTCCAAACAAGTTGAAGAGTGGGGGGTTATTGGAAGTGGGCAACACGGGTTTACCAAGGGTAAATCATGTATGACCAATCTGATAGCCTTCTATGATGCCATAACCGGTTGGTTGGATGAGGGGAGGGCAGCAGATGTCATCTACCTTGACTTCAGCAAGGCTTTTGACACTGTCTCCCATAACATCCTCATTGGGAAACTGAGGCAGTATGGGCTGGATGAGGGGACAGTGAGGTGAATTGAGAACTGGATGTGTGACAGGACCCAAAGGGTAATTATTAATGGAGCAGGTTCAAGTTGGAAGCCTGTAACCAGTGGAGTCCCCCAGGGGTCAATACTTGGACCCGTGCTGTTTAATAAATTCATCAATGACCTGGACGAGGGGACAAAGTGTATCCTAAGCAAGTTCGGTGATGATACCAAGCTGGGAGG